CCTAGTATTGTCCCCTAAAGACATAAACAAAGGACAAGGTCAGACCAGTCAGTTGTAGTCCTTATTAGTGGCTTTGATAAGAGGCTTTGGGGGAAGAGGTTGAAACTAATGGCTGTAATGAAATTTTGGGTTCTGTTAAGATTTCATTTATCTGCGCTATCAGTCCCCCTATGCAATATATCTGTTCCGTGTGCCTTTGCACGGGGTTTACATATCATAGTAACACCTATTACTGAAGCCTTGCTAATTTCTTACATTATGTAGAAAAAGCTGTGAAAATTACTTTTAAGGGACAAAAAATATGAACAATGGTGATTGCTCCATATATTGACTAAGGCAGTGTTGGAGAAAAATAGCACTAAAAACCAAAACACCAGAGTTAAAAAAGATATACAGTAATTTTCATTTGTATTAATTTGTGATTTTTTTCCCCTCCCTCAATTTAGTAAAGATACATGGGGTCTTAAAAAGATTTTTAATCAATATATTTTAATCTAGCATGTTAAACCTTTTTGACAAGTTCATAGAGAAAAGGCACATCAGAATGTTACTTTTCATTTTTAAATGTTGTGAACTGAAATTTTGCAGTTTCTTTGGGAACAACGATATTTCTTAAATTTTTTTTAATAAAACTAAATAAATAAACAAAAACCTTTTCTTAATAGTCTTCATGCTATTTATGAGTCTTAAGTATATGTTAACTAGTTTCAGATGTGTTTTGTTCTCTGACTCAAAGTCAGTCCTTTATTTTATAAAAAGAAATTGTGTAATTAGTACTTAATTGCTTTGGATATTTTGGGTATTTGGAGGAGAGGTAATTCAAAGGCCAGAGAAATTAAACTTTCACAATGTTCTTTATGCATGTGTAATTCCTTTTTTAAAAACAAACCCTTAATGACAGGCCTGAAAAGTTAAAAATCAACAAAGACCTGGGTTGTTTCTATACAATTGAAATAATAGTAATTTTAAAGATTTTTTAAATTAACATCAATTTATATCTTTGGATGCAATTATATTAATTTTTTATTAAGTTATATTGGGGAGAGGATCATTGGAGTGCTAGAAATCAAGATTATCTGGTCCATCTCCTCTTCATGCAGGTATTGTCTAATATCTGACAGGTGGCTGTGTACTGTTCTTACAAGAGGAAAGTAAGAATCCTCATATACTTCATAAGTATTATACATGATCAAATTTAAATATGTCCCATAATGAAGAGTGGTATGTGGTCCTCAGGACAAACGGTAGCTTGGTTGACGTGGGCTCTTATCCTGTATCTTTAACAGTTTGAGAAGTCTAGGTCTTGTAACTTAACTTCTTTAGGCCACTTTTATTATGAATAAATCGGAATATTAGGCTAGTAACTCTAAGACTTAACTAGCTCAGAAATACTGTGCTTCATGAGACAGCCATTATCTAAAAACTCTACATTTTTTCCCTAAAGACTAAGAAGTCTGCTTTTAAGTGATTATATTCTATATTTATTTTATTAGTGAACACATGAACTAGGACATTAATGAACTTAGTAGTTACAAATTATATTGGATTTAAAAAGAATATACCTAAACCAAAAGAGCCTTACTTCATATCTGCTAAATTCACTGAATAAGATATAATGCAGAACTTGGAGATTGATTTGTGAGGAAATTATACTAAAAGTTCTGTCCTGTATTATTGACCTAATCACCCCCCATTCTAGCTAATATTATTCTTATGTTTTTTCTAAATCATGATCTTTTTTCTTGAAGAAAACAACAGATTACTTAAACATCTCATTTCAAAGAATCAAAACTAATTACTTAGCTCAAATATATATATGAAAGTACTACTAGAACCTGTATGAAATGTATGATTTTCAAAGAAAATATAAATTGTGAAACTTTCTATAGAAGAGACAAAAATCTGAACAGATTAGTAGACATAAAAGAAATTGGAAAAGTGACCAAAGAGATGGCCCAGCAATAGCACCAGACACAGCTTGGGTTTTGTGGAGAAATTCTTCCCAGACCTTAAGGAATGCATAAGTCCAATGTTGTTGATGACCCACTGACTTTAAAAAAAAATAATAAATAAAAGTGAGATTCCCATCAGTGTTAACAAAAGGCACCCAGTCCCCTCCTTTACAAATGAGGTGAACCTTAGGTTCAGACATTAGGGACCAAAGATAGAAAATAACAGCAGGAATTATCAAATAAAATGAACTTTGGGCCAAATTTGGTACCTCTCTGTTTTATCTCTGCACAGGGAGTTAAATAGGAAGGAAAATTATTGCCAGTCTAGGAAAGCTTTGATGAAAACACAGTTATTCTTAACATACCTGTATTTTATTCAGTTATCCTTTTTCAGCATTAAGTGTGTATAGAGAATATGCTGGTGATGAGACTAGGATGTTTAAAAATGAGAAGGAAAGATTCCTGTCCTCAGAGAAACAGCATCAAGTGCAAGATATGAAAGGCAGGCCCATGCACAACGTACAGGGAGCAAACAGAACAAGCATGAAGGGAAGTAGCATGAACTGATCACTGAGGTACATGACCTCAAGGTCCCAGAGTCAGACCCTGGCATGTCAGCCCAGTTTAAAATCTATACCCAATGGTTTGGATAATGAACTACTGGTAAGAAATCTTTAAGGGCCTGAGGAATCAAGAAAGAAGCATAAGGCAGAGGCCAGGAAATCAGGCCATATTGTTGGGGCTGACCTTAAAAGTCTTCCAAAGACATGATCAGTGATAGAAACTTCTCCTGGGGCCTAGAGCAGGTGAGCAAGGCCACTTGTTCACAAGTAGACTTCCTGTACTTATTCTGTTATCTCCTCTGAACTTTGCCAAGTTGTTTCCTCCTCCTTTCTTAGGAAAACTAAAATGAAAGAAACCAATGAAGGTTGAAACAGTAATGTAAGGCAGTGAGAGTTTAGTAAATAAAGGAAGAAATGTTTCAGATGCTTGGAATAACCTCTTATTATAAAAAATACAAGTCTGATATTACTGGTGATGACATAGACTTCTAGATGCTGTCCTTTGGGTACAATTACTATTGGTTTGATCAACCTCATATTGAGTAAGTGAGAGGGAAGGAGAAAAGGAGTATGTGTGTGTGTATACATGTGTGTGGAAGTGGGGAGTAATGAATATGCACCAGTGGTATTTTGAAGTTCTCCACAAAATAATAGAAAATTTCCCTAGCCTCATTTGATGTTCTGTGTTCAGATTTTAGGGCTTGGGTTTTTAAGTTTTCACATTAAGCAAGTCATGCAGTTTAAATTGCAGGTATTGTACTAGTAATTTTGGTGCAGTGAAGAGAAGTGTGTATCTGCTTTTAAAGGGATTTCTCTGTGTACATTTGGATTGCTTGGTGACCTTTGAAATTTTGTTTTGAGCTGCTGTCAGAAACATAATCATTTTTCTTTCTGAAACAGATTTTAGCATCTGCAAAGGTTGATCAAGCTAGGATAGTTTTAATAAAATATTAATCTATCTTTTTTAATGTCAACCCAGCTTTTAAAACTGTTCATCACCTATCTAAAACATCAGCTCAAGGCAGTGGAGCTTATTTTAATAAATGCCTTTTCCATTAATGTTCTTCTTGTTGTGGTCAAAGTACAGTTAGAGAACAGATTTTTTTTTAATCTTATTCATCTATAGCCCAGTTTCAAGTTTCTCTTATTTTAAAATTGATATTACTTTATGTTTTATTATCTGAACAGTTTACTTGTAGTTTTTTTATATGTATATTTCAAGGAAGGAAAATTGTTTCAAATTCTGGTATCAGTCCTTCAAAATCTGGATAGTTAAAGATTTTGACTTTTAACAAAATTTAATTTAATATCTACTTAAATATGTGTCTTGTTATTAAAAGGTTATTTATGTTTAAAATTGACCTTTCAAGATATACACAAGAGTGTTCTAAAACAGTGTTTCTGAACATTGGCCATGAAACCACTGTCTTGGGCTGACAAATGGATTGGAAATAAGCTACCCAACACTGGGAATGGGCCATTAATTTTAATCAAAGGTGATGCAGGAAGGCGAATGGGATGCATGGCAATGTCAACAGCCCAGTAGGTGTTAAGAGACCACACAGCCTTCCTTGTTACTTGGTTGGGCCATTAGTTGAGGTTGGGTGAAGACAGAAAGCCATGTCTGGAATTGAATGACCAGGTCACTCCAAAATCTAATGGAGAACTCCCCATTTCTGAAATCACATTGTAATGCCATTAGAAGTCAAGGACAGCATTTAGAAAATATTGAAGGATTTTTTTTTTTTTTTAATCAAACACCTTGTGAGTTTTTTCAACTTTGTCAAGCTTCTTGTTTTCCTGCTTCCTTCTGAATGGATCATTGATGTTTACAAAGGATCAAGAAATTGAACAGACTTAGGAAAAAAAATCTTAAAGCTTGTTTGCTTTTCAAAATTACATACTGTTAGTTGTAAAACGCTAATAAAATGCCCAAAACAGTGACATGCCAGAGGAATTAAGCAGATAATTAATTCTTTCTAGTAATCTCATTGTCCTTTTCTTGTGTGTAGGAATAGTTTTGCTAGTTAAACCAAAACTTTCTTATCGGCTTTAGTGAATGTATTTGTTTCATAATTGTAATGGCCAATGTGCTTGGGCCTAGTTGTAAATTGTCAATATTAGCTGATAACATTAATGATTACTGATGGTCATAGTAGTGAAATTCTTTTCTTTCAATTGGTAAGTATATATTTTTGTTTTGAGTATTTTCAATTACAAAAAAAAAAAAGTGGCTCTATGACAGCTTGGATTAATGATGTTTATAATAAAGACATAAAAATGCAAAAGGAACAAAGAAGCATTTTGTATCTGTGCTTCAGGTTTATTAAGAAAATCATTTACTCTGACATAGTATTGCATGCATAAGAAAGATATGTATGACTGCATTAGTAATTTTTACACATATTTAAGAAAGAAAAGCAATTATGTTGGTGTCTTGTTAATGGAATACTATTGTAAGTAATAGTATTTGTTCTTCCTGTAGATGAAGATCAGCTTCGTGCAAAGGGTTATGACAAAACACCAGACTTTATTTTACAGGTTCCAGTTGGTAAGTCCTTAAACTCACTTATTTGTTTGTTTATAGGGAAAGGGGATATGTTTTTCCATTCTTTTAATATGTTAAGATTAGCAAATGTCACCAGAGATTAGCTTTATAATACTTTACCTGTATGGGTGAAATAGTTGGAAAAGATGATTTTGAAGTAGCAGAAAATAATAGGTTCAGAAGGAATCTGTGCCATAAAAATTTTACATATATTTAAGAAATGGGTTGCCATTTTCACCTCATTTCTTCAAATTTAGAATTTTTAAAACAGTTCTGTTGAATAGCCAGACTCACTTTGGTCTGTTTGACATGCCTCTTGTCAAGTTATAGAACAGTAGTAGTCTCAGAACTAGGGAAGGGAGTTTCAAAGAGTGTGATGAAAATAAAAGCATGTGACTGTAGCATAAATGTTACTTGTGATGAACATGCACAATGCGTTGTTTCATAATTACATCCATAGTTGAAGGTAAGGGCTAACCCTCTGCTCATTAACGTGAAGCGTAGAGAGGCCTGTGCAGAGTTCAGAATTTTCAATCTTCCCTTCCCCTCACTATGTATTAGTAATGCTTTGTCCCTTAGCTGTAGAAGGGCACATAATTCACTGGATTGAAAGCAAAGCCTCATTTGGTGATGAATGTAGCCACCACGCCTACCTGCATGACCAGTTCTGGAGCTACTGGAATAGGTAAGGTCCCATTATTTTTCTCTTAAGATAAACGATACTCAGCTGAAATCTCATTAGAAAAAATATTTTGTTTAGCTGGTAAAAATGCTAGTAGCCTTTTTTTTTTCCCTAGTAAATATAGGGTCTTGATTTAATGTATTCATTTCAGATCACTGAAACTTCTCTGCTTTCATAATGTTGCTTTATTTTTTAAAACTAAATATCTCCACATAAGGTCACAATTAGTATATACTCTGTTCCCTATTTTATGGTGATAACATTGGTGTCACTTAAAATATGGATGACAAGATGTGCACATTATGATACAAACACTGGATTTTTATCATTTTGATGTGAAATTTGTACTTACTGTGAGACCATTAAAAAATAATTTATCTTCAACTCTCTAAAATATCCAAATATGAAAGATGAAAATAATTTACCTTCCAACAGTAGAAAACAGTTCATCTACCAACTTCTATCAACATTCTTGAAGAGATGATAATCTGAGCAATTAAAAAAGCTAGTGTGAGGATAATACTATTTTATTGAGTACCTACCATGTGCCAGGTCCTGCAGACTGTTTCAGTTAATCCTCACAAGGAAGTTAGTTTTTTTCCCCCATTTTGCAAATAACTAATCTGATTCTCAAAGAAAGAAATAATATTCCAGTTAGCTGGTTACCATGGGCTTGCATTTATTTCTCTCACTCCCAAGCCTGCAATATTTCCAGCACAGTGCTAATTTCCTGTATAAAGCAATTATTGAAACTTCACTTTTTACTATTATTGCAGGCCTAAATTGTCACACCCCACATTTTTTTCCTCTTAGGAGAGGAGGTATGTCAAGTGTTAACCTTCCTAGATTAACTACATTTTTTGGTCACTGACCACCAGGAACAATACCAATACGGAAATAAGATGACATTGGGCCAGAGCATTAAGGAATGAGATAGTAGCATCTGTGGACAACAGCCTTGTCCTGGAAAAGAAACAGTGGCAGGCTATGGAATTTGGCATTATATTGTTACTCAGCTTTACAAAAGGCCAGGGGACCTTGCCTGTAGCAGCTGTGCTAAACTAAGCCTACTTTTTGCCATGGTAACAATGATCATGACAAAATGCTGAATGTAATGGCTTTCTTGATTTTCTTGTGTAATTGTGCGTAGCATCCGAGCTTTACTTTACAGGGATGGAGGAGGAAAGTGCAAGATGTTTTAGAAATCAATGCTGCTTCAGCGTTTCCCATGTTTTATTCAGCCATTATTCAAATTAACAGTAATGTGGCAAATTGAATTTTAGTTTTTTAGCAATTTTATGATTAGTTTGAAATAGTAAAGAAAGCATCATTTTTGATAGTATAGGGAAATCAATGACAAGAAAATGAAATTGCATAAGTTTGCCAAAGAATTAAAAAAAAAAAAAAAAAGCAATTGAGTAAACCAGTATGTTTTGAGACTATTTCCCCCTCTTTGGAACTGGTTAAGTCTCTTCTGAGGAACAGTTATAAATTGAATCCTATATAGTAGAGCTTATTAAAAAATTCCAAAAGTATGTATTAACTTCAAAACAACTCAACTTTTTACTGAGGGCTACTATGTTCCTGGCACTCACCATTTGTAGGTATATTAAATAATCTAGTCACTTATGTGATAAACCTATGGATTCCTGATGTAGATGGAGGGGGTCTGAGGAATAGACAATTTAATAGTATCCTTTGGATTGGATTTTAATATTATCTTGTTTCATTCTACTTTTTAGCCTTCTAAGATGTTTTACTTAAACTACTGTTGAGTAACATTCCATGAACATATTTTTTGAATATATACCAGATAAGGGAGCATTTTGACAGGAGAACTTAGTATTAGTCCATTTGTTAAAGTTTAGGATCCTACTGTTTTGCCTCAACAGCTCACATAGCAGCTGATAAAATTCTTCAGAGTTGGAAGAAATTCTCTCCCACCTATAGGTAGTCTGTCAAGGAAGCTTCTGATTGACATTTGGGCTAATTGTTTTATTCTTGTGATAAGGCTGTAGTTAACATAAAAACTAATGTTATACAATTGTCACACTCTTTTCAGATTAAAGACTAAATTTTACTGTGTGATAGTTTAATTAATATTTATAGAATAATGCATTTCTGTAAACTCATTTTTCCAACTAAATAAATGCAGAGCCTCTAATTTTTATATTAATATTTCTGTAAGAACTTTTTTTTATAAAGTATTGGTATACTTATCTCAGGCTTTCAGCAACATTGACATAGCATATCACTCCTTCTTTCTTTATTACATTTTTTTTCTTGGCTTCCATAATTATCATTTTCTTCTGAGTTTCTTTCCACCATGCCAGCAGCATAATCAGTCTCCTTTGCTAGTCTTCTTCCTTTTCCCAGTCTCTAAACAAGAAGGCTCTGGAATTCATTGTCTACCTTTTTTTCTTTTTTCATCTAAACTCAGTCCCCTTTTTTCTTTTTCATCTAAACTCGGTCCCAAGATGATCCCTTAAAAATTTCAGTGGCTCGTATGGCTTTACATACAATCTTTATGTTGGTACTTCTAATTTTTATCCCCAGCGCTAACATTTTCCCTGAGTACAAATTTCTTAGTCCAATCAATATCTCTTCTTGGATATCAAATACATCTCTTATATTTAACATGTTTAAAACCCACCCGTTGGTGTTTTTTTCTCCCTAGCTTGTTATTCTCCCATTTCCCCTCAGTTCAATTAATGGTGCCACAATTTTCCCAGATAGCTAACTCTCAAACCTAAGTATTATCCTGGATCTATCAGCAAGTTCTTTCAGCTCTATCATACCACATCTCACGTTGTATCATTTTTTGTTGACTCACTTGCTGTTGCCTCAGCATCTGTTGTCACCTCTTGAGCAATTGTTATAGCTTTCAGACTGATCTCCTTTGGTTCATTCTTATAGTCCTGTGGTCAGGTTTTCTTACCCGAGTCTTGGAAAATATAAATCATATAGTGTCATCTCCCTACTTAAAACTCTCCAGTTGTTTCCCATTCATTTAAATAAGATCCAGACTCTTTACCTGATATTCAGGGCTCTTTTGCATCATCTTTCTCCCTTCCAGCCCCAGTTCTCTCCACATATACTTCACTTTCTCTCCCCGCTCCTAATTTACTTCTTCCATCACACTGCCTTTCTTGCACCTTATTCCTTGTTTCTACTCTCTGACTAATCCTTCTAGCTAGGAATTTTCTTTACTTAGATCTCCACATAAATTTCATGACATTAAAGGCTCTGTTCAAGCTTGCACTCCACAGAGGGACAACCCTTACCATCTAGTCTAAAATATAATACCCTCTTTGGCAATTTTTTATCTCTTTTCTCATTAGGCTCTTCATAATACTTTTTGTGAATAAATGAGTAGAATGTAGTTGGAATCATTTAGAAAAGCACAAGTTTGCTTATTTGAATAAAAGCCTCTAACTGAGTTTCTCCTTTTATTTTACATTTCAAATTATTCTATGTAGTCTGTCCATCATTAACTTCAGAAATTTGCCCTGGCTAGTTCACCTTGAAAGTTCTCAATTTTGCAATGCAATCAAAATCAGATATAATGACTAGGATACATAAACTGCTTCTCTCACAGGCAGACCTGCATCCCAGGTATGAAGCTTAACTAACTCCTCAAAATTTTTCAGTCTCCACTTCTACAGAGTTAAAAGAAATGGTGTAACTCTAGGAAGCAGTGATTAGATCACAGGATATAGTTCCAAATTGTATAGGGATGCCAGAAAACATATTTTCTTATGAAAATCAATACAGAAATACTTTGTTGTACTACATGTGTAATCATAAAGTGAATTATTTGACAATTTGACCTACATTACTAGATATAACTTATAATTTTGAGATAATGACAGAGAAGAAAACCATTTCTATAATCTAAGGCCAGATTACATACATGGTTTCTAACATATGGCCTTTCAGAGAAGCAGAAGAAACTTTAACTTTTAGTGACTAGAGATAAAATGGGTCTATTTTTTTTTTAATTTTTTATTGTTGTTCAAAACATTACATAGTTCTTGATATATCATATTTCACACTTTGATTCAAGTGGGTTATGAACTCCCATTTTTACCCCGTATACAGATTGCAGAATCACATCAGTTACATATCCATTGATTTACATATTGCCATACTAGTGTCTGTTGTGTTCTGCTGCCTTTCCTATCCTCTACTATCCCCCCTCCCCTCCCCTCCCCTCCTCTCTTCTCTTCTCTCTCTACCCCCTCTACTGTCATTCATTTCTCCCCCTTGTATTATTTTTCCCTTTCCCCTCACTTCCTCTTGTATGTAATTTTGTATAACCCCGTTCCATGCAATTTCCCTTCTCTCTCCCTTCCCCTCCCACCTCTCATCCCTGTTTAATGTTAATCTTCTTCTCATGCTCTTCGTCCCTACTCTGTTCTTAGTTACTCTCCTTATATCAAAGAAGACATTTGGCATTTGTTTTTTAGGGGTTGGCTAGCTTCACTTAGCATAATCTGCTCTAATGCCATCCATTTCCCTGCAAATTCTATGATTTTGTCATTTTTTAATGCAGAGTAATACTCCATTGTGTATAAATGCCACATTTTTTTTTATCCATTCCTCTATTGAAGGGCATCTAGGTTGGTTCCACAGTCTTGCTATTGTGAATTGTGCTGCTATGAACATCGATGTAGCAGTGTCCCTGTAGCATGCTCTTTTTAGGTCTTTAGGGAATAGACCAAGAAGGGGAATAGCTGGGTCAAATGGTGGTTCCATTCCCAGCTTTCCAAGAAATCTCCATACTGCTTTCCAAATTGGCTGCACCAATTTGCAGTCCCACCAGCAATGTACAAGTGTACCCTTTTCCCCACATCCTCGCCAGCACTTGTTGTTGTTTGACTTCATAATGGCTGCCAATCTTACTGGAGTGAGATGGTATCTTAGGGTGGTTTTGATTTGCATTTCTCTGACTGCTAGAGATGGTGAGCATTTTTTCATGTACTTGTTGATTGATTGTATGT